CCACTTACACCTAAGTGCTTGATCTACCAAGTTTTCACATACATAGACTGAATCTCGCTCTCCATTTCCTCCTTCCATGTTGTAGCCTTTAGGGCCTACCATAGCTTTCGATAGCTAGTACACTCTGATTGCTATCTACCAGTGACTCATATACCTTAGTAATATAAACTCTTATATAACTAATGTATGATTTCCTCTATCATATCTATAAGGAAGAGGTGGAGGTATGTCAGTTTCCTCAATAGCTCTTTCTACCTTGAATTGAATTCTAGGTCCAACTTTAGGCTCTTTGTTGGTTGACTCTCGAATCTTATCATGATCAATGTGGCTCCCACTATCCCTTTTGGAAATCGGCTCCCTCTCTTGGAAGACTGCCCTTTGAGAAACATACACTTTGTTCTTTAAAGGATTGTTGAACAATTATCCAAAATGCTTTATGGGTTCTCCAACGAGATAACACATCTCTATTCTAAGTTCTAGATTGCCAAGCGCTTCACGACGAGCATAAGCATCATAATCGTAAACTTCCATATGTTTTAGTGAGGAATGAATCCCATTTCACATATCATAGAGTGCTTCATGAACATTCATGATTAACCAACTATCGATTAATGAATATTCAACCCTTTGATTAATTAAACTGTTAATTAATTCCCAAAATATATTTCACATTAGGTTCTAATTAATTATTAACCATAATAATTAATAAAACAATTTCTCCTTTATTTATTCTACTTAATTTGGGTCTTGAGGGCAACCCAAAAGGACCTTGCTATTATCATAAATATCACCAATAATTAATGACCATGGACACACTTTCCAACCCGATCTGCTTCACCATTTCTTCCTCATCTGGCTTAGGTTTCACAACAGTCTCCTTCTTTTTCTTTGTTTTCATTGCTTTATATAATCCCTATGCACCTTGAGAAGTAACTCTTGGAGGAATAATACCAGTGGGATTAGAATCCATAGAAGCTCGATACTCAATCAATAATTGATTAGTAGGATTCACCAAGTTGAGCATCGATTCAGTAATTCGAGAAACCGTTGGAAAAACTGTAACATCATCAACAATATTCTTAGTGTTAAATGTGACTCGAGAATTTGGATCATGTTCATGGAGCATTTGGAGCACTTGGGAACTCAATGGATCACTTGGGGTTCATGGAGCATGTGACAAAGGAAAAGATCATCTAAGAAAGGAATGGATCGTCTGACAAAGGAACGGATCAAGTGCCAAAGGAACAGATCATATGGAAGGGGTTTTGGAGCACGTGGAAGAGGTTTGGAGCACTTGGGAGTGATATGGAGAAACACGGGACCTTGTTGCGCCATATGTTAAAGGGATGGGCCAAGAAGGATGCTCTTGCGCCATGACATCTCTTCTTGCGCCATTATGCTCCCTCTTTCTCCATGAGGGGTTCCTCTTGCACCATGAGGATCCTTCTTGCGTCAAGGGGTACTCCTCTTGCACCATGAGGATTGCTCTTGCACCATGCACGACCTTGTTGCGCCATGCATGTTCTTGTTGCACCATGGTCGTGTTGTTTCTCAAATCTTGATGTTCTTGCGCCATGCATGTTCTTGTTGCACCATGGTCGTGTTGCAACATGCATGACATCTTGTTGTTCCGGAAGAATTCTTCAAGCTTGTTCTAAAGGTCTTTGGCAGTGCAGTCGTCACCGGAGATGATCTGAAGCAGTCCGGGATCACATGTGCTATAGAACCATGATTTGATGTGAGCATCAACCGAGTGTCACTCTTCATCATCATCACTAGTTGGGTTGGATTTTCTTGAGATGTGACCATAACACATGGTACCTCGACACATGTTGGGGAAGATTTGTCGCTAGAACTTGTATTTAGAGCCATCAACATTGAGTTTGAAGCTGAATTGATTATAGACATTGGTGAGGGAACATACCAAACTCAATGTGGATGGAACAGTAGAAGAGGATGAAGCAGGTATCGACATTATCACTTAGCAGGATCGATGGAGTATGGAGACACAACAAGAGGCAACACTTGGTGATGTGGACTGTTGTTGTGGGTAACAACAGTAGGCAACGGAGGATCTTGACCTAGGCACCATCGGATCTGGTGGACAGAAGGCAGACGTCGGGTGCACCAAGGAGGGAAACAATCAAAACAAAAATTGTTGATGTGGGATCGATCGATAGTGAGGATAAAAAATCCTGTGTGTGGGAGAGGTGAGTCAGAGGTATGTGCATGAGGGAGGAAAACCTAGCTTTATACCATGTTAAATGTGTAAAAGCCCTCTTGATTAGGGTATTGTGTTGCAAAGATATATATACACAACAATGTTACATAAAGGCTCATATACTAAACACAGTAAGAAAATAAGACTATAAACTAACAGATCGAATATTTTATTGAAAATGTGGTAAGAGTTAATGCACTATTAAGTTTCATATGTATTAACGGTTTTAAGACCATCCCATACGCCATCAAGAGGATGATATATGTGCCATTAGGTTCATGAAATTGTTGATAGGATTTCTTCGGACGAAATAGTTGAAGGTTTAAATCACGAAGTGATTTTATCACGTTAATCTAGAAAAACAAAAATTAACAATTAACAATTATCATAAAACATCTAAATACAACTACTTAGTACCTAGGATGGAGAGCAAAAGCATTGTAAATTCTGATCATGGCGATGATGATGATGAAACCCATTAATCTTCACTTTTCTGACTTGAAGAAACTCAGAAATCCATATCCAAATTCATGCGCACAGCACGCCCGATCACCCAAAACGTTACTGATCAGAAAGTCGCTTGAAACCAATCACAGTTTACTCGAACCATCTCAAGAGTTTGCTCGCTCACTGATCCATGAATTCAACCCCCATATCCCAATCGAAGAAGCCCTAACCCCACCAAGCTCATGGTACACCTCCCCTTCTTTTCACTCTCTGGAACTCAATCAAGTCTTCTTCAGAGGATGGCAGGCCGTTGGTAATCTACTTAGCTCTCATTTCTATATTGGTTGTTATGAATTTGTGTGCCTATGTATGCTCTTCTTATTTAATTCTGAGGTCAAATTGGCTGGTTTTCAACATGCCAATCGTGAATATGCATTATAAAATCGCTTGTTTCAGTGAAAAGTCAACAATCATACGATCCATTTGCAACAAATCCATAATCATTTATGTGTTTGGTTGATGATTAGGATGTACCGAGCAAATTCAGGAGGCTAACAGTTTCTTTACTGGAAGGTAAACTTCACTGCATCTTTTGATCATATTGGGTTCTTGTTAATTTCTTAATCTTTAATTAATTGACAGAATAGGAAACATAGAATATGTGGTATGTCGTGATGAAAATGGCAAATTACGTGCATTTCATAATGTGTGTCGCCACCATGCCTCTCTTCTCGCCTCTGGAAGTGGAAAAGGATCTTGCTTTGTATGCCCTTACCATGTGAGTTGACTTCTACTTCTACCTTCATGGGTGTCTTTCTTTATTCGTTTCAATAAGAAGAAGAATTCGATTCACACAGTTGATCTTTGTAGGGATGGACATATGGATTGAATGGAGCACTTCTGAAAGCAAGCAGAATAACAGGGATAAAAAACTTCAATGTCAAAGTATATGAACTGAATTCTCCTTTTTCTGCGATAAGTGATGCTCTATTAGCTTTTATTCACTTATTGGGTATTGTTGATATGGATTATTGTTTAGGAATTTGGACTTGTTCCATTGAGGGTAGCAATTTGGGGGCCATTTATCCTTCTTGATTTGGAAAAAGACAAGTTTGATGAACATGATGATGTGGGAATGGAGTGGCTTGGTAGCACTTCTGATATACTAAGTACAAATGGTGTTGATACTTCACTAACTTATCTTTGTAGACGTGAATATACCATCGAATGTAATTGGAAGGTTTGTTTTTTCAAATCCTTCTAAATCTTGTATTCTGTCTTAAATACAACCTCATGATTATTTTTAAGTGGTGTTTTTGCAGGTTTTTTGTGACAATTACTTGGATGGAGGGTATCATGTACCATTTGCACATAAAGATCTTGCATCAGGTCTTAAGCTAGATTCCTATTCCACCACAGTATGTATGTTTCACTTGACACACATTTACATTTGAATTAAAATGTTTGACTATTAGTTAACATATATCTAAATCTTGTGAATCGTAGGTATATGAGAAAGTAAGCATCCAGAGATGTGATGGAGATGAAGTGAAGGGTGAGGAAGACTTTGATAGACTCGGATCAAAATCTCTATATGCTTTCATTTATCCAAACTTCATGGTGAATAGGCAAGTTTCTTGAGTTTATCTTGTTTCTTTTTTTTAACCATGGATGCTCTTTTTTTAACCTCTTTTTGTGTTCAGGTATGGGCCTTGGATGGACACAAATCTGGTTCTTCCATTGGGACCCAGGAGATGCAAAGTGATTTTTGATTATTTCCTTGATGCATCTCTTAAGGTAAATTTGAAATCAAACTGTGTTTCTCACATGGATGGGGTATATAATAGCTTCTATTGTGTAGGATGATGAAGCTTTTGTAACAGGGAGTTTAAAAGATAGTGAACAAGTTCAGGTACGTAGATATTGTATGTACCTTTTGGTCATCATTCAGGTATCAGATGACTGGAGTTTTTTTTTTTTTTATATGATTGTAGATGGAAGATGTCACGCTCTGTGAATCAGTCCAAAGAGGGTTGGAATCACCAGCTTATGGTAGTGGTAGATACGCGCCTATGGTAGAGAAGGCTATGCATCATTTTCACTGTCTCTTACACCAAGATCTCATCAACTGATATTATCCATTAAAAAAAAAACTTTAATCTTATCATTTTGATTCACATTCTGTTATGGCATGTAGTTTGTATATTAATTGTGATATATCAACAATGGGGATCGAATTAAGTAGTTCAAAAGCCTAGGTTTTTTAGTGCAATATGAATAAATGAACGAGTGGAAAATTTTATATATACAAGAATCATCCCAATATGTACAAAAGTGCATCCAATTACAAAATGGCAATAACATCAAACACCGAACATGAACCGGGAAAAAAAAGAAAAGAAAAAAGAAAAAAGAAAAAAAAACTCTACAAAGCTTCAAATTCTAAATACAGACGACGGGGTCATTGAATACAGTTGTAGCCTCCCCCTCCCTCAGTATGTCCGAGTATATAAGTTGTTAAGCCTTTGATGACGTTGCAAAAAGGAAAAACAATAAATAAATAAAAAAAAAAAAAAAATTAGCATCCTTTTCTAAGAGCCGCTAGCATTCACTCATCATCCTCATTTCCACCTGGGATAATAAGTAACATGAGTTATAAATTATAATTATATATATTTTTTTGTATAATACATGAAAGAACTTTTTTGTCCCATATACGCACCTTTCTTTCTACGTTGCGATGTACATGATGGGAATATATTGATAAAATATTCACTGAAGGGGTTAGGAATTTCCCAATAACAGCAAGGGGCCAACTAGTGAAAAACAAGGATAATAAGGGTGAAAACATAAAAAGAAGTTGACTAGAGGGGGGTGATGAGAAATTTCTAAAAATGAACACACCTGATAAAGCCGATTGCAATTGAGACCAACCACAATTGCCAACTCAGCCTTACTGTTGCGGTAAATTTCCCAAGGAACATGATGATAATGACCTGGAAATGGAATAAGAAGAGTAGAGATTAGATTATGATTTTGATACATTTTTGTGTGAGAATTGAATAAAGAAAAGGGGAAAAAGGGCTGAAGAAATCTTACTTGAAGAACAACAGTAAGGCTCACGATGCCCATAAACAAGTGGTTTTTGGTAACGCCTTTGAAAATATTAATTTCATCGGGTTTCCGAGCATTAAATTCATTAAAAATCTGAAATTATGGATTAAGGAATTGTAAATATGTTGCTATTTTGTATTGGTAAGGAATCATAAGTAGGTTGCTATTATGAGAAGAAAAAAAAATACTTGACCTGAGCAAAAATGAAAGCATTGAAAACGAGAGTGTTTTTCACTTTCTTAGCATGCTGTTGAGAACTGTGATGCAAATGTAGGATTTGTATACCACGGAAATTGAGTACAAGGAGCACCAACACTTGATAAGCAACCTGTAATTTTATATAATTAATACACTTAATCTCTCATGGATTTTTACAAACTTTTGCACAAAGACAACTTATATAAATACAATACCTGAATTAACAAATTCCTCCACATGATACTTGTTATAAGAGGCTCCCTAAACAAAGAAACAAAAAAAGTTAGTTACAAGAATAAATATTATTATGACGAAAGTCAATCTGGAATTGGTCAAACCTGCGGCCCACGGGGTGTCGGTGCATGAGGTGGTCTGTTGGTGGTTCGGTGGCTAGGGCAAGTGCACCCAAAGTGTCCATGATAAGATTCACCCAAAGGAGCTATATAAATTAATACAATAATACAAAGTAAGTTGCAATTATCAGACTATTAATGATCTTTGATATTTTGACAAGATTGAGAGAAAAAGATACCTGGACTGCATTAAGGGGGACATCCCCTGAAGAAACAGCTGCCACAGCATTAATGACAAGGGCAACCACATTTACAGTGAGCTGGAACTGAATAAATTTCTGTATGTTTGCATAAACAGATCTTCCCCACCTAACAACCTGTTATGTGGGCATGCAGAAGAAACACATTAATCTCAAAAAAAAAAAAAAAAAAGGATCAAGCGTTTTCTATACCAACATAAAGACCAAAAAACAGAAGATATCAGACCTTTACAATGGAAGCGAAATCATCATCCAAGATTACGATATCACTACTTTCTATAGCAACTTCAGTTCCTTGGATGCCCATAGCAAGACCAATATCAGCCTACAATTTCAATTTCATAAAAAAAAATAAAAATCATAAAATAGAGTAGAAATAATTAAACTGATGATGAAAAATCTTGAATTATTACCTCATGTAGAGCAGGGGCATCGTTTGTTCCATCTCCAGTAACAGCAACAACATGTCCTCTTTTCCTCAATGCTTGGACAAGTAACAGCTTATCATTAGGTGAAGACCTCCCCATCACCTGTTTCACAAACATTTTATAAAACTTATTTACAACTACTCGACTAGGGTCATAATAGTAAATTCACATACCGATATCCTCTCAGCAACTTCTAGTCTTTGGTCTTCTGACATGGCACGAAAAGATTTCCCTTCAATTAGATTTGGCTCTTGGGCTTCAGCATTTGACCCCAAAATTCCACATTCTAATGCAATCGCTCTTGCTGTTAGAAGATTATCACCTGTCACCATTCGTACCTTCACACCAGCCTGTATGCACAGTTGGACAGCATCTCTGACACCTGGCCGACATGGATCCTGCATTGCAAAACCAAAACCATGTATCAAAAAAAATATAAATCTCTTTGATGACATGGACATGGACATGGACATCCACATACCTTTAAACCAACTATTGCTAGCAAAACAAGATCATCATCAGGTAGTCCCCAATTTGCCAGGTCATCTTCATCTGTTGGCACGGTTTCTTGTGCACATGGTTTGTAGGCAATAGCAACACACCGCAAACCTTTAGCAGACATATCTTCAATCGCCTTTTTAAAATATTCCAACTGCATGGATGAAAATATCGACTTGGGATCATGATTTTCTAAAGTTGCCATGGAATTCTTTCTAGAAAACTGAAAATGATTTCTTAAGAGAAAAATGAAGAGACTGATCTCTCATACCTTTCCATAATCCAGGGGAACCGGACTTTCATCACTGCCCATGTATCTTGAGCATGCAGCCAAGACAATTTCAGCAGCCCCTTTCCAGTGTACATGAACCTCAGAATCAGGCTGTTGAGATATCAAAGAACAAAAAGAAAATGTTTGATGTGAATCATATGAAATCTTTTTAAATACGACAACAAAGCCTTTCTTATGAATCATAGACCCCAAGTACTTAAAAAAATCTAATTTGGGCGTAAACTATGCACACCATTACATCTACACTATTATTTTGCTCTCCATTGAAATTGCATGAAAGTGAAACCTAATTGATTTTCCAAATTCCAATGATTGTTTCATGGTATAACTAAGAAGCTTAATACCTCGTTATTGCCACAATTTCAATGAAAGTTTGATTGGTGTCTTATAAGTCTAGGTTCCCCCTCCTCCTACAAGCTTGGCTTTTGGGAGTGAGTTCTACACTTGGGCTTATGGGTATCATAATTCTGGATCTCTGCTCCATTAGCATCTTTTTTTTTTAATATGGTTATGAAATATTTAAAAGGTTGTACAATTACCCGTTTGACTGCAACACCACCTTGTTTTTTCTCTGAGTTGAATGGGGATGCATGAATAACTGAACACTCTGACCTCACCACATCAAAATTCATTCCAAGCTGCACTTATTATTACAAAAATTATGAGTATCACATAAAATCAAGGATACAAAACAAGATTTTATCCCAACATATGAGCCAAGAACTAACCTTAATCCCCCATTGAAGTATGGCCTTCTCTGTTGGTGATCCAGAAACCTCAACTTCTTGACCTCCCTATTAAACACCAACAATAATAAGTATCCTTTAATATTAAATACTATTATAAAAAAGATTTACTATACCTCAGGGAAAAATACACTGCCAGTTGTATTGTGAGCTACACTTTCAACAAGAAGAGATACAATCTTTGGAGGTAATGCTGATGTGTCATTTGGTGGATCGATTTTCTTCCCACAAATATAAGCCTCAACCACAGTCATCTGAATAAAGCAAAAACATGAGACAAATATGGGAAAAGAATGATGGATTTTTACTTCTTAGATGTCAAAATAAGAAGAGAAAAGAAGTGAAAGGAGATTCCCTCTTAACTATTTAAAATATGAACAAAAGATTTTAGTACCATTTTAGATCATTGGCACTTACTACTAGAATAAAATAATAAAATATGCAAGAATCATGAAGTTACCAAGAAAAGAAAAATATCCCACCAAATTCAAAGTCAAGGTTCCAGTTTTATCACTGCAAATTGTAGTTACAGAACCCATCATTTCACAGGCAGATAGCCTCCTAATCTGCACATACAAAATTACCAAAAACATAAAATAAAATACATACAACTATAGATGTCAATGAGAACAAAAATATCAATATACCAATGCTTTGTCAGACATCATTTTTCGCATTGAGTATGCAAGCCTATAATTATATATAATTGACATGTTAGTCATCCAAAACTCGATTAAAGAAATGGATTATAGAAAATGAACAACTTACGTTGAAGTGACAACTAATGGAAGCCCTTCTGGCACTGCAACATAAACAATAGCTACCTATACACACCTCAAGAATTACAAGGTTGAAAATGAAACTAAATTAAATATATATTATATATGCAGAAGATACATACTGCAACAGTGAAAATTTTGATTACTCCATCCAAAGCATCCTTGACACTAGTTTTACCAGCAATAAACTCTACTTTTCCCTCATTGTCCTCCGTGTATCCAGTGAAAAACCTAGCAAGCAGAAATTAGTTAAATTACCATATTAAAAGCAAGAAAGAGGGGTGAAAAGACGATTATACCCATGCAGCTTTGAATTACCTGATGAGAAGGATGACAAGAACGGATGCAGCTACCAAAAGCCCAATCTTACCAATAAACATTGCCACTCCACTCAAACGCACCTAAGATATTGTAAACAGATTGATGACAGTTTTAAGCCTTGTGTGATTTTTTGAATTTTAAAAGGTTAGAGCATGTTTAGAGAAGTAACCTGTAATGGTGTTTCCTCATCATTATCATTATTTGAGATGCTAGCCATAAGCAATCCCCATTCTGTATTCATTCCAACACTAGTGACCTAAATGTGGTTATATAAATGAAAAATTGTCAGCAATGGGATGAAGGAGAATGATAACAATTTAGGTCCACATAAAAATGTCATTGATGCAAATCTTTTCTTCTATAAGTTGACCAAGAACTGGGAAGAGGATAAAGTTAAGGAATTTCTGAACATCACAAGATCGAACAGATTGTCACTTATCTCTTGACAAGAACTGCAAGGATCTACTCCTTTAGAAGATGGTAAATCTGATATTGATAAACCCCTGATGAAAAAATCACTGGTGATGAACTAGCATTGGGTGTCCAAATGTATGTGTTGTGAGTTGTGACATAACCACCACAAAAAGACCATGTGGTGTTGGTGTTGGTGTTGGTGGTGGAGGAAGTGGTGGTGGTGGTGGTGGCGGAGGTAGGGGAGGTGGGGGTGGTGGTGGCAGCGGTGATGGCAACATTGGTGGTGGAAAAAGAAATATCACATAGGGTTAGAACTTAGAAAACATCTTCCAAAATCAGAAGCTATTTTTTTGTCTTTTGGAAAAAGAGGTCAAAAAAACTTTTTTTTTTATGTATTTTTGCATGGGATTAGAATGATTAAGTCTTACCATCATTTTACCAGAGCCATCAGCCACCTTACACCCAGCCATTAAAAATGGTGATTTATGATCTTTAACAACCTGTTCCATCATTTTCAAAAAAAAATATAAAAAGTTACATTATCTACCCTTCAAAACTAGAGAATTGAAATAAAACACAATGTAATTAACAGAAATTTAAGAAAACTTACAATTTGACTCCCACCAGTCATACTTGATTCATTTATAGAAAGAGAGTAACCAGAAATGAAAACCCCATCAGCTGGAACCTGGTTAACAAATGAAGTGTAAACAAGGGCAAAAACGGAAATCACAAGAAATGAGAAACATATTACCTGGTCTCCTATCATAAGATGTATGACATCACCCACAACAATATCAAATATTGAAATCATCATCCTCCTTCCACCTCTTACAACCTATAGCAGTATCATATCTTTATTTGTCAACAAAGAAAAATATGATTGTATGAAAAGATCAATACATTGGTTAAAACCCCACCTGACACTGTATGTTCTGCTTCTCCTCATTCAAGTTTTGAAATTTAAGTGAACTTTTATACTCATGCATGGCTAGAGAACACAAAATAACAATGGCATGTTAAAAGAGAGCAAACTATGTGACATAATCATTTTCTTCATCTTATTCATGATTGGTTTACAAGTCAGAAAACAGAAATAAAGTTACCTTTAACAACCATGACAAATATAACACCCAAAGCTATGCTTCCCCCATCATACCAGCCTTTGATCCCCTGGAGTATATAGTAATAACACAAGTGATAAAAACATAAAGATGTCATATTTCCATAAAAGAAACGAATTTTATAACAAAACATATAAATATTAGACTTAAAGATGTTCACTAACCTCTGTTATTATACCCAGTGCCAAAAGAGCAGCAGCAGCTACCATCAAGATGATCAATGTGGTGTCTTCACAACCATCATACAGAAACCTCTATCAAATGCATATTACACAACGATTTTAATTTAGATTAAATCATATTCAAATACTGAATATTATCGATTCAATTGCCTTTAGAGAGAAAAAAATATACAGATAAATTACCCAAAAGCTGTTTCCCTTTCTTCTTGGGTATGTGTTTGACCCAAACCACATTCTTTCTGTCTAATATGTTTGACTCATCTTCATGGATTCCATTATCAGGGTTCGTCTTCAACTTTTCTGCCAACCTTTTAACCTGTCATGTTCATGGATGGAAAAGACAATCATAATCTTATTTATAAGATGATGTGTGTGTGTGTGTGTGTGTGAGAGAGAGAGAGAGAGAGAGAGAGAGAGAGAATTCTTAATAAATCATAAACTTACTCCTCCAGATTTTTGGAAAGCAATCAAGTCACGCACTCTTGTCATTGAAGCAAGTTGTTCTGGGCTAACATCATAACCACCTGTAGGAGTTGGAGATGGAGGTGCTGTTGGTGTTCATAAGCAAAATGTCAGCAGAGTCAAAAGGCAAGTAACTTAACAAAAAAGACTTTTATACCCCTATAGTCTCATTAGAAATGAAAGTATAATGCCTTTCTGGATTTCTAAAGTGTCTGCTTAAGCACATGCTTAAAATTCGTTCAGAAGGAGTAAGTAATATGTATTAAATAGGATTGGAACAATTCCTATGAATAAAAATTACCATCTGGTTTTCCTTCAGCTGTTGGGAAAAGGTTGGTTTCCTGAAAAACAGCAACAATTCCCAGTTATTTCCTTTCCAAAAGGATTCAACAAGATATCTACAAAGTACAGTGACAAAGACCTAACGAAAAACCGCAATACACATGATCTAAACAATACAGAACACTATTCCTCTTCTGGGAAAAAAACAAGATTGGCAAGTAACACAGTATTGCGTTAATATCTAATCAAAACATCAAGAATACGATGAGAACATAAGCGAGATATTACCAGCTGTGCGGAAGTAGAAGACCATGATCACTACTGACTAGTGGGTTATCGCCAATAAGAACACTTTGAAGTTCGAATACGATAGACCACTAAACCACTGACGGGCTTCGTCGATTTATCCTAAAAAAACCCAAACCCACATGTTTGATCACGGTGATTTGAATCCATCAGTGTTTCGCGTTTTGCAAAGATTAAATGAAGAAATCACAGACCAACAGGAAGCACCGAATATGGAACTATAGTTTGCGTCTGCTACGGTTATAAAAATACAGAAATTTGGTATCAATTGAAGTTCTACGATAGGAGAAAGAGGTTGGCAATGAATAGAACGATAAAAAGAATAGGAGTTTGCTCCGTCGGTATAATACGAAAATCTAACAGGAATTTTTCTGAGCAACTTCCTTGCACTTTCCTTCGGCGTTGGGCAGCGCGTGGGCGGTAGATTGTATTTGTTGAAAAAAAAAATATTTAGTTTGTGAATTTGCCAATGGGTTTTAGAGAGATGTGTGTGTGTAAAGATGAGTCATGAGTGACCACATAAGTGATTGTTTGATGATGTGCTAAAATGGTAAGACTTGTCGGCTAATAAATATAAAATCAACATCAGTTCTATAAAGAGTTTTGAAATTCCAAACAAATTGCATAATTATTTTACACCAAAAAATTAAAATAAATAAATAAATAAATCTTTATATTTTAACTTCATATTCGGTAAGTCCTAATATAATATTTTCTTACGCAAAATATTTTTAATTGTAATCAATTTTAATGTTGAATTGATTGGTATTGTTCATGAATATTCATGGAATCGAGGTGGATGGTGGACGGCTCATGAACTTAGGTCAAACACAAACATGAGTCGCATTGAATCGTACATAGGTCAAAAGGGGATGATATCATAACCTAAGTTATGTTGCTCATTCTATTTATGTTACCAACTTTTCCTAACTAAGTGGAAGCTAATGATCTTTGGTAAATGTTATAAGACAAAATTGCAAATTTGGTCCTTGTGGTATGTCAAAACTAGCACGTTTGGTCCAAAATGGGTTTGGCTTGCAAGGATGGTCCAATAGTTTCATTTTGTTGCAAGTTTAGTCCAATGGTTAACAGCCGTTACCAAAGCCCCGTTATTTACCCATGCCCCTCTCACTTAAGGGTATTTTAGTCATTTCATCTCTGTAACCGTTCCCGCTAAAGCTCAATAAAAGCAGTTCGTCTCCTCCTTAATAAAGTAGATCGTCGTTCTTTAACCAAGATCAATAAAATCCCTAGACACAAAATCTGTTGTGTTAGTTAAGTTGCGATTTGGTGAGATTATCGGTGGATGAACATACCAATGTGGCACGTAAGGTTGTTTTTAAACACCACTTCAACCCCAATGTGTTTATGGTACGTAATTTGCCCTTTTTCATCTTTTGATTTCTTGAATTTTTTTGAGTAAACTCCACCTGAAGTTTTTTTTTTTACTTGTTTTGAAGATGGACAACCCACATTGTTTACCATTAAGTTGTACCATGGAGGTGAGTTTATAAGTACCCTGATGTTCGTTACATTGACGGAACTGTAAACTATGTTGACATGGTAGATATAGATGAGTTTTCCAGTTCATGAGCTCGATGCAATCAGAAAGGTTTAGATATGGGGGTTCCTCCTGTTATATACTACCATTTTCTTGTGTCTGGTGGAGACTTCCACTTTGGTCTTCGCCTTTAGGAAATGATGAAAGATGTTTGCAAACTTTTCTCAATATGTCAGTGAGCACAAGTGATGAAGGTATATACACAGAACATGGTGAAACAAGACTACTCACCTATTTCTTGAACCCTAACCTGTTACCAAGGTTACCCTTGTACCGTTAGATGAACCACATGAGGATGTGCAACACAATGATGACGTCCTAAATGACCAATCAAAGGAAACACTGTGTGATGACTACACCTACTGATTGTGTTGCCCACTCCACCAAACCAACCTGAAATCCAAGTCAATGAAGTACTTCAAGTCGTATCTTATCACCTGAATATAATAGTCGAGTTGTTTATGAGCAAGGATGGGCGTGATGGCATCCTGCAGTAAGAAACTATACTTTGATGGTATTGGTGAGACTGAGCAGATAGCAAAAGACTTGTTGAGGCAGCTATTGATTTTGATATTGAGCTCTACAAACAAATACTACAAAGCAATGTTGATGGAGTCAATGCCCCTGACATGCAGATGTCAATGAACCTCAGATGGATGAAGAAAACCAACCTCAGATGATGAAGAAAAAACCAACCTCAGATGAATGACTTTTGGGATTTTGACTATCAAACTGATGCTTGTGTCCAAGATGGAAGTGAAAACCAACCTCAATCTAACATGGATAGTACTGGAAAACAAAATGTAAGTGAGGTTGAAAGTAAAGAAGGAGTGAAACAGAGCAGGAAGATGATAGTGATGATAGTG